ACTTTTTTATAACTTGAAGATGAAATTCCCGGCCTAGAGAATTTTTTCATAAATAGTAGCCAGAAGGAAGAAATACAAGAGAATTCTTTACCAACCTTCATTTACTTAATGATATTAAAGCGGAATTTGGTGAGAATCGATCAGAGATGCAGTTTTCAAAAATTGATAAATTTCATCAGTTCTTGATGAAAATGAAAAGAAACGACCGAAATAGCACAGAGGAATAGGCCTAACAAAGATGGCATTTCTTCCTCCAGCTGATTTTTTCCTCCTATGTCGACCAATTTCATTAATTATTCATTAAGATCTATTAAATAAGAATTACCCTTGAAGATTTACTATTTGAAACTGGTCGAGAAGTCAAGAATGCAGATGAATCTCTACTGTTGCGATGCGATTTTGAAACAAGTTAGAAAGGTCAAAGTGCAAAAAATGAAAGAAAATGGCAACAATAATGTAATCACCGGGAAATGCGTGCAATGTGCATGCTTCGTTACAAAAAGATTAATTCGAAACTGTATGAAATACGATCTGTCGAGAAGATTAAATCTGAATTGAGAATGTGCAGAGAACAAATGTGGAGCAATTTTAACAAGTTAAAAAATACATTCACGGAGAATTCATCCGAAAAAAAACGTGAACTACTGATATAAAAAATGATACGGAAATACGGAAAAAACGTGACCTAACACGTTACAGCTACTAAGGCAACAATGACGAACAATAACGGAAAGATATGGAAGGAAAGAATTTCAAAGAATGTGTTGCATTCAAAACAAAATCATCTAAAGGATATCACGTTATCGCTACAATTTACACGTCATAATGATCAAATAGAAGGAACATATGAAGTGTGAAATCGGCATCAATCCACGTAATTATCAGTTAATCTCAAATTGAAAAGAATGAATGAAGTATAGACGAATCGGCGAGAATAGAAGCAATTTTTGCATTTTCTATTTTGAGAATAAACAAACATTTAAATTAGGCCATTAATTATTACATATGTCTGCATCTATTTTTTTATTGAAATGTTTTAAAGGTCAAAACCGATGGAAGGTTATTTGGCAGTGGTATCAGTTATTCTATCACTAATTTGCACATTCGGATTGCTTTTCCGTCTTGGAATGCCTTTCAATCCGGTATCCTGCACAATGCCATTTTTAATTCTTGCCGTTGGTAATACTTAAAAAAATTATTTATGTAAAATTTCTTTTTTGCTTATATTTTTTACTTTCTCTCGATCACTAATAAATTATTCATTCAAATTACTCGCATTTATTTTTTTTTTTTTTCAAGGTGTTGATGATGCATTCCTGATGTTAGGCGCTTGGCGTACGACCGATCGAAATTTACCGATAGAGGAACGGATGGCATTAACAATGAGCGATGCCGGATTGTCCATCACCGTAACATCGGTCACTGATTTCGGTTGTTTTGGTTGGTAAATTTCCTAATTAATTTCAGTGAAATAAATATTGCCGTGGTTGTTTGTTATTTTTGAATTAATAGTTGAAAATTAATTTTTTAAAAAAAAAGTGAAATATAATTTCTTGCATTTTTTTTTTCTTCTATTGAGAGCTTTTTAATTTGAAAAAAAAAGAAAAAACTTTTAACTTATATTTAATTAAATGATTGCGTAAATTTGATTGAAATTATTTATCAAAAACTTTTTCAATTAATATAAGTTTATAAGCAAACAATGGTTGAATGTGCACTCAGAAGGAGATCCGAAAAGAAGAAAGTTGGCGTTTGTTCGATATTTAAAATTTTTCAAGTTTAAGTTGTTGAAGTTTTTGAAAATAAAAAACTTCAAATATTTCCTTTGATAATTTTAGCTATTATTAATCACTTCTGGAATATTTTCCTTATAATGTTTTGGATGAATTAATTATAAAATAATTACTACATTTGAATTAATATATATATAAGTAAGTTATAATTTAATTCGAAACTAATATATTTTCATAGCATTAATTTGAAAGCGCTAAATGGATCAAAATTAATAGGAAATTCATTATTAATTTTGATAAATTAATTATTCAGCTCTTGGCTATTTTCTCTGTCCAATACCAGCTGTTTCGGATTTTTGTATATTAACGGCTACCGGTATCTTAATGGATTATCTCTTTCAAATTACCTTCTATGCTTCGGTTATGGTATATGGCGGTCAACGAGAAGCTAATGGTGGACTGATATCATGCTGCTATAAATTTAAATCAAAAGAAAGGACAACAAGCAATCGCTACAATCAACGTGGGTTCTTGTCTCCATCAAAAATGTGAGCCAAACACTTCGCTTCAACAATTGGTTCACAAGTAAAGTGTTGTAGCGAATTTGAGATTGAAAAGAAAAAAAAAAGCAAAAAGAAAAAAAAAACTAAATTATAGCAGTTATAATTGTAAATGAAATAATAATAACAATAACAAAAATTGCTAATTTAGTAACTAAAGTAAAGTATTATGTAAAATTTTTCATATCATAAACTGATAAGAATAAATGATAAGAGATAAATTAGATTAAAAGGTTATTTTTTTTTTAAAAATAACTTTTATAAACGCTTGCAAATTTTAAATTATTTGCCTTCAAAAACTTTAACATTTATTACATACAAGTGAGAAGAAGTTTGCCGTAGCGATAGTAAATAGAATTTAAATGTTAAGGAAAATGATTATTCATTTTTTTTTTTTTTAACGAAATTAATAATATTTCTATGTGATGTAAATTTTGCAAACATTTATGAATTTAATTTTATGAATGCCGTAATTTTTGCTTCAGAATTTTAACATTTATGAATTTCGTAGATATTTTACGAATTTTAACATTTATAAAATTTCACTTTTAAATTTCGTATTTCTATCTTCTTCAAAATTTCTAACATTTGTGACTTTTGTGAACATTTATTTATAAATTTCATATTTTCTTCAGAACCTTACATTCATCGATGGTTTGGCGATATTTATGCGCCATTTATATTACGTAAAGAAGTTCGAATTATCTCTTTGATTGTTTTCCTTCTTTATGCATTATTCGCTTTTTATGGTTGCATATCAATTGCAGTTGATATCAGTCCACGGAAATATATTCGTGATGATTCACCCATGCAACCTTTTATTAATCTTGCCGGTATGCTTTTTAATCTATTATTAATATTTTTACATCAATATTCTTTCTGGTAAGTTGTTTTTGGAAACAAAAAAAAAGAGCCAATTCGAGAATGAAATGAATCAATTGATATAATATCATTTTGAAAAAAAAATAAAATAAAATAAATAGTTGATAATATAAGTTATTTGTAAAAGTGGTTGCTAATAAATTAAACGTATAAATTGTTTTGGAAACAAAAAAAAAGAGCCAATTCGAGAATGCAATGAATCAATTGATGTAATATTATTTTGAAAACAGTTATCTTATCTCTCAATTAAAAAAAAAAAATATCGTTATTAAGAATTATGAATTTAAATTTTTTTGAAAAAAAAAGCGAAAATGAATTATTTATATGTGATTTTTTTTTTTAAATTGCAAATTTTAAATTTGCAAAAAGCGAAAATAAATTATTATATGTGATTTTTATCAGATAAATATATTTGGGCTGATAATGTAATGCCAATATTTTACGTGATGAATCCGCCGGATTTTCGTACAATGCAATCACGTGCTCGAATAAACGAATTAATTTATCGTCTCGAACATACGACTTATAGCATTGGACGAGTTTCCACAAATTTTTGGCTCTGGGAATATCAACGATTTTTGAATGATTTTCCGGACATTAATTATACCAAAAATTTTTATGAAAGAAAATATTTGATTGATTTTTTTGATCAATCTGATAATCAGCAGTACAGAGGTTGTTACTTCTGTTTTTCTTTCTTTCGTTTTTTTTTTCCCCGCATGTTTTATTTTAAAGTGTAATTTCATAAAATGTAATTTATTTATTTAATTAAATTTTTTAATCTACTAAAATTTCATTCTATAGGTAAAAGTAGTATTAGCAGATAAAAAGTATTACCTAGTACTTTTTAATAGACATAAATAAGCTGTATATGATAATTTCATATCATATCGCTGATTTATTTATTTTATGCTTAATGATAACTGATATTGTAATTTTGAAAATAGCAAATTTGATTTAATTAAAATCTGAAATAACTGTGAAAATTTTATCAATTTTAAGCTCAAGTGAAAATGAAAAGCAATGTGACAAATGGCGAACCGTGCATTGCAGCGTTTACCTTTCAAACAAGTTTTTATGGGCTTGATTCATGGGATAAACGACACGTAAGTAACATGAAAATTTGATAAAAGTAAACAAAGTAAATAATTATTTAATTATAACTAGCTTATTAGTAATGATTAATTAAAAGTTAAATCTTCTCGAAGATATCGAAAAAAGGAAATGCTCATATTAATTAACTACTTTTAAATTGCTTAATTAATTGACTACTTTTAAATTTGCTAGGGTAAAAGTGACAATAAAATCTTCGATCTTTTTGTAATGAGTAGAATTATCACTTTTAAATTAAGAAACTAGTCGAGAATATGATATGAATGGATTATTGATTGCTTAGGAATGAGTATAATTCTTAATTATAATATCATATTACAATCAACAAACAACGAAAAAAGAACAATGAAAATGTAAAAGTTGAAATTTATGTATGAAATTATAATTTTATATCAGAATGAATTATATCGATGGCGTGCAATGATCGCCGAATATCCCGATTTTGATGTTTTTTTGTCTGGAATTTTTTCGCCATTTCTAATTGATCAACGAAAAAGTATAGCACCATCTTCCATGCAATCAATTGGATCAGCAATTTCTGTTATGGCAATCTTATCTGTCTTCTTCCTTCCTGATAAGGTAAATTGAAATGGAAAACACAAACATCGATTCCAATTTACAACCAATAATATTGGATATTTTTAAAAAATATGCAATATTTTTTTCGAATTTTGAATTTTTTACTTCTAAATTGTTAAGGAGTATTTGAAGATCTAATTAAAAATGTATTAAATTATTTGTTGTAATTAATGGTTGTAATGTATTGAATTATCTCTCAGCTGTAAAAAAAATTTCCATCCTTCAAATTTTCATAATTTACAGCAATCGGTATTTTTTATGACTTGGAGTTTATTATCAATTTCAATGGGCGTTTGCGGTGGCTTATCACTTTGGGGTAGTGATTTGGATTCCGTTTCCATGGGTTGCATTGTTATGGCAATCGGATTAGCGGTTGATTTCTCGATACATATTTGCTATAGGTATCATCGATCATCTCAACAAACCGCGCATCAAAAGGTATCATCCTATTTAAAATTTATTTTACTTAAAAAACAAAAATTACACTTTCATATTATCTTATCTGGTCATCTCATTCTCTCTCCTTTTTTTTTTTTAAAAAAATACTTTGCTTAAATATTTCATTTTTTTGAATATTCAATTAATTTAATTTGTTTGTTTTTTTTTTTGATAAATTAATGTTAAATGTGAAAATTTTTAGGTACGAGAATCATTAATGATGGTTGGTTGGCCGGTATTACAGGCCGGTTGTTCCACTTTATTCTCAATGCTAACATTACCATTAATACCAGCCTATCTGGTACGTGTCTTCTTTCAAACGGTAATGCTTGTTAATGTAATTGGTTTAACTCATGCCCTTTTATGGTTACCGCAATTGATATCACTGTTAGATCCGTGTGAACGAATACCGCTCAGGTTCCGATATCCGTTAATGGAGTATGAATCACCGCCAACTTAATATGCATTCAATAATTTTTTTTAATATCATTTTATTAAATTTAACTAATACAAACGCTTTAGTATTGAATACATATACACTGCGGCTATCTTCAGTTGATTACTTTTAAAAATAATAATTAAGCAATATAAGCAATTTCAATAGCAATATAAGCAATTTCATATAAGCAATTTTAATTAAGCAATTTCAAAAATAATTAAACATTAAGCATCTCTTCCATTATGGAAATTGATGAAATTTCTGCCTGCTCTTAAAAACATCTCGAGAAGGTATGATCAAGAAGTAATAAGGTTCATTTTGATGAGATATGCCTTAATATCACTGTTACTACACTTTTTTTTTGTGCCTACATAAAATATTTCAATCCATTTAACGTTTGTTTAAGTTTAATTATTGGTATAGATTTGATTAGAAATGTAAAATCTTAGTTGATAGACTTAAATATGTTTGTAAAATAAATTAAAATGACAATTATTGCATTACTCAAGTATTTATGTAAAATTTTGATCAAACGATCCTCGATTTTATTACTATAATATTATATATGTGTGATTTGATTTCTGTTAAAATTTAATTATATTTTTTTACAAATTTAATCAATTTTAACGAATGATTTAAGCAGATTAAATTATTAACACTTTTATGTTTGTACGAGAGAGAACGATTCTTTTGCCACTCTTTTAATACATTTCATTTCTTCTTTCTAATGCTTTCTTTACATTTACATTTAATATATTATACAAAATATCATCACATTTAATTTTTTAATTTAAAAATTATAGCATATTTGTCACATTTCTTCTATTACTTATCATTGATAGATTTGTGTGGATTAGAGATATCAGTTAATTTTTTTTTTTGCAAAACAATCCAAAGTTATGGGAAAGCAAAAATTAATTTCGTTTCCTAAAAATGAAATTTTGGACATTGGCCAAATATACAGAAAACTCGTCATGCCCTGGTTTGAAGTGGACTACACTGCTAGCCAATATTAGTAAATAACTGATATGATTAAGGGAATGATAAGAGTCAAATGATTAAACATTAAAGTTCATACATCTCGACTATCCTTCATAAACGTGCTCTACGTGATTGCAGCCGTGCTATTGTGCGTGATAAAATCTATTTGGCTAATTTACAAATACAAAAAAATATTTATAAAACAAAATTTTCAATTTAAAAAGATAAAATAAAAAGCATAATTATTCAATTAAATCACTATCTTGTCCTTTGGTAATTTGCATCAATTCTTTTTGATGAGATTTTCTTTAAATTCATTTATTTTGAAATTATTTCACTTCGTTGTCTTTCCTACTACGCAACCATTTCTTCACCGTATTTCTCAATCTTCGTTTACTTTCGCCATCATCTATAATTTGAAATTGTTAAGTTTTCAGCTTAATTTTATTACTTTGGATAAAATTTTTACACTGCAACTCGTAATAATTTAGATGAACAATAATTCAAATAAGCTTTTGTGAAATCTCGAAAATACGAAGCATTTATAAATTCTAAAAGTTGCGGAACAAAAAAAAAAACAAATAATAAGCTGTTAATTTTTAATAAATAATAACCTAATGGTAATTAACGATAATATACGTCATGATGAACAAATAATTTTAATTTTTTCGTTACTTTTTATTTGTGCATTTAATATTCCCAAATCAATTTGACTTGGCATTGCTTCCAGCATTTGTATTTCCTGAACGAAAATAAAATAACTGAAAAAGCTATTTCAATATAATCGAACTTTTACAATGACAATTTCAATATTTGTTAAATTTCGATAAAGTGAAATAAATTCAAATTAACTCTATCAATCTTTTCATTCATGCGCATTTCACGTGCGGATAATTCAGCAATCTCAGCATCAATATCGGCATCAGCTGATAGAGAATCTTTTGTTGTAACAGTTTCCATATTTAAAAAGATGAATAAACAATGAATTTTTTGGAGTAATGAAATAATATAGTAAATAATCCCCGGGAGAAAATACTTCAAAATGGTACGATATCGAAAAAATGCAATTGTACAAAAATTCTCCCAATTTTTGTATTTTATGCAAATTAAATTGAGTTCAATTAAAAATTGCACTATTTTTTGAATTAATTTAAATTTTTAACACTTTTCTGTTATGCCAAATAAATACTTAGTCTTGTAAGTTCTTGCGAATTTCGCAAGTTTTCTTCTTGAAGTGTCTGTTTCATTCGCTGTAAACGTCGATGCAATAGAAATTTTGAAATTTTGTGCTTAATTAATTTGTACATAATCATTGATTCATATCGATACAAATGCTATAAATAAAATAATGAAAATTTTGATGATAACTAAATTATCATTTCGTATAATTTGAATTATTGCAGAGAAATTTTCTACCGACTATTTCAGAAAATTATTCTCTCTATTTGTTAGACATATTGAAATTTCAAACAAATATATTAAAATTTTCACATTTCTGTAATAAAATAGAAAATGTCTAAAATGACGTATCCGCCTTATAACTCAAATATATTTTACATTTGTGCCTAATCAATGAATGCTAACCAATCATTTTCAGGTTAACAGTAATAAGCATTATGCACTATGTTTGTTAACATTAATTAGCAGCCATTCCGTCTACAGAAATAATTCAGTAATTAAATTTACGATTAAATATTACATTGTTAAAATAAATTAACAAATTTTGAAAATCTCTTTTTTCCTTGGTCTATCTGTTACAAACAGTTAATTGTAAAATTACTGTATTCCGTCATACTGCACATATTGTTTTAAACAATACATTAGCACACATTAATAGTAATTAAATTTAAAAAATTCCAAATGTTTAATGAACAGTGCAATCATGTGTTACTGTATATCATTTTGTAGCATAAAATAAATTGCATTTGCGATAAATAAACGAATAATTTTTAAGATATTATTTTAATAAAAAATGTAAAAAATCACCTAAAACAAAATAACTGTATTTATGAGTTTAACGTATTATCAATTGTATTATCAATCGTTGCAGTTTAATGCTACTTTAAAATTTTCCAATTTGAAACTAACAAAAAATAACTTACAGTAATGAAGCCGAGTGCTAGTGCAAAAAGAGTTTCAATGATGAAAAAAAGTGGCATTAGAATGAAAAATTGAACATATGATGGTTGCGGGGTCAAATCGCCTAATCCAATAAGCGTTGAAGTCGTAAACGTATAATATAACGAATCGAAATAATTCCATTGACGTGAATGTTCTGCTTCCTAAAAATATTTTTCTTTTTTTTTTTTCTTGAAATTTAATCTCATTCAATTCATGAAGAATGTTATTAATTTTGCATCAATGAAATATATAATTATATGAAATAAGTGAAACATTTGATAATCAATCATAATTTATTCCTTTCAATAATTTAGTGAACTGAACTTTAAAAATTAAATCAAAATTTTAGCCATACAACTAAAATATGCTTTAAATCATAATTTTAAGTGCAATTAAAAATTAAAATGAAAAAATTATAAAAGCAAAGAATTACCATGACAATAAGAGCAATTGTTGGAGTAATCAACAATACAATTAATATTATTAATGAGAATTTTTTGTATTCAATACATGGATCCTCGATTCTTCTTAAAAGAATGAAAAGAAATGAAAATTTTGAAAATTAAATTGAATTTAAAAGTTAAATTTTAAAATTTGATTACTTATTTAGAATATGTCGTTGAAAGAAATACAATGCACGTCGCACTGTTCGAGCAATAAATTCACCGAGATCTGAGATAAATGCCATATTTAATGGAATACCAATAACTGCATATACAACTGTTAATATACGACCTTGCACAGTACGCGGGAACTAAAAATACTTTTAATCGAAAAAATTGAGCTTATATAAGTTATTGATTAGTTATATTAAAAAGT